AGTTATCACCCTCCCCACTTTACAGATGAGGAAACTGAGGCTGGAGTAGGTTAGGGATTTGCTCATAGTCAGGGAAGAAGGGCAGAGCTCTCCACCTCCAGAGCCCTCTCTTAGTATCACAATGCGGAAAACCCTGAGATAAATCCCACATCTCCAAGCCCCAGTAATCTCTGTAAGGATTGTTGGGATGACTGAAGTAATATTTTTTTTTTCTGATGGTGGATGTTAGGCCTCTTCAGAGGTGATGCAGAAACATTTTGAGGGAATGGCTTTCTCGTACGACCAGCACAAGGCCATCAGACCGAGAGCCTGGGACCAGCTCCAAGGGGAGGGATGCCCAGTTAAAGGCCTGTGTGTCTCTGAACAAGTGCCTTTCTCCTGCTGTGCCTCAGTTTCCCCATCTGTACAACTAAAAACAGACAGACTCAAGCTCTAAATTCCCTGCTAGGTCAATGCTCTGGGACTCACAGTCGAGGTTAATTGCACCCTGCGAGGCTGCTCCAACCTCGGCCACCAGCAGGAGCAAAAGACACCAGGTGGTTTTCATCTGGATAAGGTGCCACCCCCAGCACCTCAGAGTCCAGGTTGGGACAGTCAGAAGAGGGTGCCAGAGGACGGCAGGGCTCTTCCCACCTTCCCCCCTGCCTTCCCCATGCAAGGTGGCCCCTGGCCCTGCCTGAGTGCCCACAGCTCCCACTCTGTCCCAGCCCCGCAGTGTGACCTCCCCCAGTCTCCTTCCCTCCCTGGGCCTCCAACTCTTCTTCTGGAGTGAAGGGGTTGGGCAGCAACATGGAAGCCTCCTGCCAGCTCTGACATTTATTATTTTAGGATCCCTCCGCCTCTGGCTGTTTTCCTTCCTGCACTGCTGGAGCCCGTGACTGGCCTTGCGCCCCCCTTGGTGGGGCCTCTGCAGATGTCTCCCCAGCCTGGGCACCTGTCCAGCCTCACTGATGCCCCCTGGCAGGATGGGGGGCAGGGAGGAAGACGGGTTGCAGGAAGGGAGCCGCGCCCTTGATGTATGCTGAGGCCTCTGCAAACCCCAAGTTTCCTGGCTGGGATTTTCCTCGGGAGACTGCTCGGCAATGATGAGCTCAGAGAGCAAGAACTTTGCTGGAATGACCACTGAAGATTCCTGCCTGACCCGTGGCCCCAAGCCCTGAATTCCACCCAATCCTGGGGCAGGCCCAGCCTGCCCTCTTGGTCAGAGCAGCAAAGGGTCTGGTGCCTCCCACCCTCTGGGGTCTCTGTAGGCCAGGACGAATCCCTCCCTGCCCCCACTCGGGCTTGCTATCCATTGCTAACCCCTTAAACTCTGGCCCTGTGACTACCTAAACATGCCAAGCTGCCTCCACCTCACCCCCTCTCTCTTGATTCAGCTTACGGGTCACCCCTCCCCACAACAGAACTGACCTTGCTTATCTTTATGCCACCCTGTGCCCACTACAGGCTTTTATCAGAGCACTCCTGGCTCTCATTCACCACGCATGTCTGACCTCTATGGGGCTTAAAACCGAGAAGGGCAGGATCAGCTCATTTGCCCTTGTATCTGTAGCACCCAGCACAGGGCTCAGCACATGGACGTCAATAAACAATGTGGAATAAATGGATGATTAAATGAATGGATAAATATTAGCAAAGCTCTATGGGAACAGAGAAAAGAGAGCAGGGGTTAAGCACTCCAGCTTTCGGCTCGGCGCCTGCAGCTCAAGCACCAGCCACGTACACCAGAGCTGGTGGGTTTGAATCCAGCCTGGACCTGCCAAACAGCAATGACAACTACAACCAAAAAAATAGCAGGGTGTTGTGGCAGGTGCCTATAGTCCCAGCTACTTGGGAGACTGAGGCAAGAGACTCACTTAAACCCAAGAGTTTGAGGTTGCTGTGAGCTGTGATGCCATAGCACTCTACTGAAGGCGACAACTTAAGGCTCTGTCTCAAAAAAAAAGAACTCCAGCTTTCCAGTCATACTGTCCTGAGGTCCAAATTCTGACTCCAGTCCTCCTAGCTGTGTGATCTGGGGCAAGTAAGTTAGCTTCTCTGAGCCTCCATTTCCCCATCTGTCAAATGGAATAATAACGGCATCTATCTCATCTGATCAAACCTAGCTTGGTGTGTGGCATACAGAGAGGGTTCCATGGTAGCTCAGCAAACACTTTCTCTGTATCCAGACAACATATGTTAATATCTAGAAAATGCTTACAACCCTGCCTAATGTGTGTTATTCCTATTTTCACTGCTTTTAAAGCAACCCAGACAACATGGATGAACCTTGAAAACATGACGCCAACCGAAAGAAACCAGACACAAACGGCCACACATTGTAGGATTCCATTTATATGAAACGTCCAGAACAGGCAAATCCACAGAGACAGAAAGTTGCCAGGGGCTGAGAAGGGGGAATGACCGCTAATTGGTACAGGGTTTCTTTTCAGGGTGATGAAAATGTTCTGGAATTAAATAGCGGTGATGATTGCACAACACTGCGAATACGCTAAAGAACCATGAAGTATATATTTCAAAATGGTTAGCATGGTGAATTTTATGTTATGTGAATTTTATCATGATGGAAAAAAAAAAAAGCAGCCCGGGGGATTGTAAGGGGAGGCCAGGAGTGAGAACATCTAGGTAGGCTCTAGGCAAATGTTTGACAAAGAAATGAAACGACGGGAGAGCAAAGGGCAGAGCTGAGGGAAGACCCTGCCTTGTCCACAACCAGGCTCAGCTATTCATTCCCTGATGGGTCCAAGGTGTAGGGATTTCTCTTTTGCTTTGGTGCCAGGACTGCACAGATAATTTTAGCTCTCACTCATAGTAATGACCTTATTCCTATTGCAACTGCTTTTCTCTTTTCTCTGTGTGGTTCCTGATCTCTTTACCCTGTGTGCAAGAGTATTTGTGGTTTTAAGTAAAGAGAACCTAAAAAAATTATCAAGTACCTGTTATGTGTCACTGATAGTCTAAGATATAGACTATGTTTTTCAACCTTTTTTTATCTCACGGCACACTCGGACCTATAAACTTCCACAGCACCGGGCGGCACCTGTGGCTCAGTGAGTAGGGCACCGGCCCCATATACCGAGGGTGGCAGGTTCAAGCCCGGCCCTGGCCAAACTGCGACAAAAAATAGCCAGGCATTGTGGCGGGGGCCTGTGGTCCCAGCTACTCAGGAGGCTGAGGCAAGAGAAT